CTTGTCTTGTCCCCCAACTCCAAAGTTTAGGTAACAGTGGGAGAAAGACGCGATAAAAATGACTACGATAGTCAGGCCAATCTTTTGTGGCATTGGATATTTTCCTTGTCCCCCAACTCCAAAGTTTAGGTAACAGTGGGAGAAAGACGCGATAAAAATGACTACGATAGTCAGGCCAATCTTTTGGAAAGTGGCATTGGATTTTTCCGACGATAGCATAATATTTTGCATTTACTCCCTGTGCGTAAGGGGCATTCCAACATACAGTAATACGGGTGACTTTCACTTACGCCTACCTTACCAACCGTCAGTTTGACCAAGGAATGAAACACAGAATAAAGCTCGTATTTGGTGATTGGGTATCTTGGCTGACGCACCGAAAAATTCTGGACAGTTAGCTTCTACGTGACTCAGTAGACCACCGGTTAGAGGTATGATGAAGATATGATGAGGTAAGTAGTTCAACAGGTTGTATCAAACAGATTTCCCAGGCCGAACAAACACAACAGCTCTCCTGGGCATAGACTGGATCAATCGCTTGCACCTTTCAACACTGCCGATCGAAAACTTATGTTCATCAACACCGACAGGAGGGAAGCCAACATGCCGGCCTGGCAACCGTGTGCTTCTGAGGGACTATCGCCACGGGCACCGAAGATGGACTGTTGGAGTCGTCCTCAAAAGAATCGGTCAGGTGATTTACAGTGTCCAAGTGGGATCATTGATATGGAAACGACATGTCAATCAATTACGGCCGACTCAGTGCCAGATCCCAAAGGCGGAAGAACAGTTACTAGACCTCAACCTATTGCTTGAAAACTTTGATCTCTCAAGATCAGCACCTGAAGCCACTGCCTCGCATGTACCGCTCAAGACAGATCCATTGCTGCAACCAAGACGCCGTACCGGTCGCACCAGAAAAAGTGTGGAACCTCTAGAACTTGCTCCGCGTCGAAAATCTTATGTTGAACGTTCAAAAGGGGGAGGTATCAGGAAGGTCAGCTTCCTGAAAGCAACCACTGAATGCCCGAAATCTACCGAGACTCTCAGCTCCGCTAGATGTTGACCAGACAGACAACGCCCCCTCAATATGCAGCGCGTCACAGCCTTGCATCAAACCCAGACAGCGCGAGTCAGCGTTGATCAAGGTCAGACAACGCCTCCGCAATATGCAGCACGTCGCTGCCTCGTACCAAAGCCAGACCGCGTGCGTCAGCATTGGACCAAGTTCAGACAGTGTCCTTCCAATAAAAAGCCTGAGGCCGTTGTACTTTTCGCACTCGCACGCACTCGCGCTCTCGCAACCACTTTGTTGGAATATAGCTATTGTGTTCCCTTCCGTGAGTCTTTTTCTCTCCGACATTAGGCACTGGAGCGGGCCAGCAGCAGATACCACAGGCCGGCGAATCAGCAGATATAACAGTTAGTACCATCCGTCCTTTGTCGGTTCAGCCAGGAATAATGGCTCCCAGACGACCACAGGATTGGAGCCACTTTATTTCGCTCCGATATAGTTTATTTTCGAAGGTCACAATGACATAAATGTGAGCAATAGTTGTGTAAGAATGAACATGAGCGTGGTAAAAAAAGAGTCAACCGTCCCATTCATAGGTATGCTTTCACCAGCCTCTTACTTAAGTCAAACGATCTCCAATGTAGGTAATAACGTTCAGTATGGAACGAGTAAAGNAAATGTTCAGCACTCTTTCCGTTGAAGTGAGAGCACTATCACGGTCAAAACTCGCACACTAGGCAAAATATGTCCGTCATGCAGGGTCTGGTATGGAAAGCAATGACCGTAGTCACCGGTCAACACTGTGTAACACGCACGAAACTGTCCCACTTATGTAGAGAGCTCACCATGGTGAGCAAATACAGGTCACTTACAGTGACCTCAAGATGCCGCAGTCCAACACCATTCTTGGAGGAATGAGGGAAACAAATACCCAGATAAGAAATTATCACTGGTTTGTGAACCAGAACATTAAAATCACTTACTATTATATGTAGGGACGAAATAGTTGTGAGGGAACAGCTGGAGGCACCTCATTGCTGCTTTTCATTCCACACAATCATCCTGTGCCCATTGGAGACTATGCCATCTTCTACTACCGTTGCTCGGAACTCCAAGACGAGTGGGCAAGACCTTAAGCTAGACGATTTCAGCTCATCAAAGACCATATATTGCTAAGAAGTTTTCTGAGCCACAAAATATTATGTGCGAAAGAATGGAGCTACAAAATGCGCACCAAACTCTCCGGCTGACCGGTTTTCACGACAAAAGATCGCCCGCCCACCGTGACCACGTTGGTGGTTCCGATATTTTGTCTTCAGCAAGTTACACCGGAACTGGATACTACTGATAAATGCTGAAGGAGATATTCTTTCTGTAGCTACAAGCCGTCGATTCGAGAGAAGCAAGGCGACCGAATCTACGATTATCAAACGTACTGTCACAGTAACCATTTTTTTACCTAGTATTCACGCACTAACCCTCGACTCCGATCGGAAGGCTGAGATTCCGAACAGCTGTACCTACTGCAGGATCGGTAATCACATTGCGCGATTCTCGGCACCGCTTAGAAGGAAGCTTCTCCATAGGCGCTTTTCACCGCATCAGGACGGTTAAACTCAGGCTTGAGATATTGAATTCTCCATGTTGTTTACTGACGTGGATGCAGCTGATTGGGGTGTCATTCAAGGTAGAAGTGATCAGCCAAAAAAGAGTGCATGGTGTAATTTTGTGCTTCAGTGGACTTGGCCAAGTACGAATGAATACGTCAGCCGCTGTATCCACAGCCGTGAGAAACAATATTGAAAAGAATGGATCTCCCAGTCTCACTCCTTGGCGGCGGGAAATGTTCTATAGAATTCTTTAAAGACAACCTCTACATTAGTCTGTCCGTCCATATACAAACCAGGGTGTGACCAGAAAAAACGTGGTTAGCCGCTGGCATAAACAACGGAAATTTGAGGTCAACCTAGACAAACGTACTTGGCCTCATATCAGAGCCAAATGTGCTGAGTAGATTTTAGCAAGTTTATACCTTGACTTGACCGTCCTAAATGCACAACCAGACTTGACGAACAGGCCATTAAGTGGTGAACACGCGTTGCTCCTGCTATTCGTTTAACATCCCTTTCCTAGAACGCGGTATTCCAATGAGTTATAAAGTTACTCAATCAACTACTGTATCAGGCAAGACTTAAAACAAAATGAAGTCACGTGCTTAGTTAATTCAGCCACCGTATTTTTGAATTTACAATCAACCCAGATGTAGCCACTTTCACACGGGGCTGCATGCCACTGAGTCATCTCTTTACTGCTCATAAAAATATCAAGCTGCGTGTCATTTTGGATGACCGGATTCGCTTATTTCCAAATGGAGACCCATTGTTGAGAGCTATCATCAACACCTTTGACTGCAAGTAATAGATATATCCATGTGCTTAACTCCCTTTTGAGAATTGGGCAATAAGTGATTCCCATTGTGGCAGTAGTATTTCGTTAGCACTGTAGAAAAGAAACGAAGCTGGACGAGAATACCAGACATAATCGCTGCCCGCACGCCTTGTAATACAAAATACTGAGCTACATGAACGATAAGTGGAAAATTCTATTGTTAATTTCTACTAGTAACACTTCCGTGATGCTGCTTGAAACGCTATTCAGCATCAAGAAAAAACATGAACCACTCTTATGCGCATTTGTACGCCTTGAATAGTTCATCTACCAGTCCTTCCAATGGTGCCTCCAGTCAGACCATAGAATTTTCTGTAAGATTCGAATGTCCTAATTAGAGTTGACAATCATGTTTTATTATCTGCTAATATGACTACTGCTCTTTTCCAAGTGAAGCTGGAACCCATCACAAAAGAATTTGACATAAAATCATAGAACACGCCAATATGTGGTGCAAAAGAGGTGGTATTTAGAACAGAACGCCAGAAAGCGCTATTTTCTCGAAGTAAATCGCAACAGTATCACGGCATAATAGCAGGCTAGCAAAATAAGAAACCATACCGTCTGTACAACTTGATGAATTGCTAGGCATGAACGTGCACACGAAACGGCTCTGGAAAGATCCTGGTGTTAGTGTGTTAGTGCGTCACACTGGGTGGAACGTGTATGCAAAGCTCATTACTCATCAAAAGTGCTTCCAGACGATACAATCATCCAGAAAACCCACAACATTTCATTAAGAGTTCAAATGATCTAATAAACAGAAGAAATTTCAGTTTAAAAAGATCAGAGCCCAAATCAACGTCATGAGAATATTCGGAGCAGAAAAAGGGACTAATTGCTGTAATATATCTCAAAAGTACCGAATTACAATGTAGAACGTGTTGTATCCGAATTATTTAGGGAGGTAGTAGGTCATAAGTTGAGTTCCGGAAGTAATCATCCAGTTAATTTGTCGACACCGCCATCAAAAGTAAATTGCACACATGTCTTCCAAAAGTCCTAGTATGGTCAAAAAATAGTGACTGGGTAGTCCTTCCATTTCTTTCAAGTACCACGGCAGTAACACAGTGTGGAGCATAGCATCATATATCAAATATGCTATGTAATATCCCTTATATACTTCCGGTGCTTTCATTTTCCGTGAAAAATCTTTTCACATCTTTTTAATCTTCAAAGAAAAACTACGGAAGCATCAACAATCGGTTTGTAAGTACAAGGACCTTCCTTTAGGAATGGCATTACGCGGACCAATCAGTAACAGTCAGGCATGTACTCTGGAGGCAAGAATAAACCGAGTCATTCGGGCGGCATGATATCGGCGTTATATCTCGAATGTCGTACCAACTAAAACATAAGGCAGCCTTTGTGCAGCACATTCAGTTGAAGAACATCATAAACGAAGGAGTCAATTGAGTCTCCAATGAAATCCAAATGGATTTGCAATTGAGTGCATTTGCGATTGAAAGTTCTTTGTCGCATTGCTTCATTGAGGTGGCAACTGGACTGTATATTTCATAAGGTATCGTTTTTTCCAAGGATACACATAGCTTCGTTGAGATCAACAAAATGGCCGGAGTACACAGATGCAGGATTTCTGAGGGGGGGGGGAAACAGTGAAAAAACTTGAGATAAAGTTAGTTCACCTCGGCGCCTTCCAATGAGTGTATCCGATGTACGTAATTGGTAGTGTCCATTTCAAACTTGCAGGAATTTCTTGTATTCATACATCGATTTGAGATAAATCCGAATGTTCAGGACAGCGTACAATTACTTACAATGGTTGTTATATTATCTGCAAGCTGATGAAAATTGTATGCTCCATTTATTCCTCTCTTAGAAGCCTTTTTGATGAAACTGGGGAAAACTGTCGGTTAAGACGCAGATGGCCTTAATCAAGCAGCATATATCAAAAGAAAACTTGTAACACTCGTTGTGAAGAAGCGGAAGAAATAAGGTAAGTTACCAAGACATCTCAAGATAGAACGTTTTTCCAATGTGCGCTTATGTGTCTCGAGGGTGTTAGAATGGACGCTGAATGCCTTTGCAATCTACCGTGAGATGCAAACCGAGAATATATCGGTCAAAAGTATTATTGAGGGGCTGTTTTGGGATAAGGATATGGTCAGTTGAATCTTTTTCAATGGTATTCTGTGAATGAGTATGCTGCACAAGGCCGCATCTCACTGACAACTCGAAATCAACGAGAATGTCGTAGGAGAAATTTGGTTAGGACCCTGGTCTATGTCGAAGCAACAAAGAATATCCTGTATGGGAATAAAAATGTACGACACCTTCGGACTTAAGTTGCACCATGGCTGTATGCAAAGTCCGCCAAAGGAAACGTTTGCCTTGGCCACTCATGGTCATGGTCAACCGTCGTGCGATCTGAGTGTGCAGGCCGAACTTGTCTAACCCGTCTCTGCTCGAGGAAGTACTACTGTTTACGTAAATATGAGATCAGCTGTAGGTGAAGAGTCCACACACAGATATATCACTATTGTTTGAAGCGATTAACCTGGTGAAAGGAGTTTCGCTCTTAATAGAACTCATCAACAGCACATATCCCTGGTCAATCACACCGCTCAAATGTGGATAGATTC